GGGGGGGCGGGGAGAAGGGTGCAACAATGAAAAAAATAAAGGTGAAAAGAACAATAGCTTTAGGAATGGTGTGAAAATGATAATTTAAAAAGTGTATTTGAAGTATTCACCCAGGATTTAGCCATGGTGTCAATACATTTTAGCTGTTGTATTGCTCTTATTTCGATAATTAGTTTTGGTCAGGGTCTCAAGGTTAATATGATTTAATTCTTAGAGCTCCTACATCTTAAAAGTGAAAATGTTGAGCTTTTTGAGTCACCAGAATAAAGAAGCATCTAACTGCAACGAAAAAAAAAAAAGTGAAAATGTTAGTTATAGGTCATAACTCTCACTTTTTATACATTGTGTAATTGAAGAGGACAATCTACACGGTGATTTTTAAATAGGTAGTGGAAAGGACATCATCAGGTTAGGAATACAGAGAATTGTTGGCATTAAGGAGTCCTCATTTACCTATTGATCCTTATTCACTACCGCAAAGACCTAACTCTTGCTTTTGGCTTCCTTAATAGTCTTCTTCTCCTACCTTCCAGGAAGGCCCACCTGATCCTGCGGCGACTGGAGCGGGTGAGCAGTCACTGCTCCAGCCTTCTGCGAAGCGCCTTCATCCAGAGCCGAGTGGACACTGTGCCCTACCTTTTTTGCCGCAGTGAAGAGGTTCGGCCAGCAGGCATGGTCTGGTATAGCATCCTTAAGGACACCAAAATCACCTGCGAGGAGAAGATGGTGTCCATGGCCCGAAATACGTACGGGGAGTCCAAGGGCCGGTGAGGGAAGGTGCTGCCCTCCATGAGCACAGACTCTCTATGGGAAAGGGAGCAGGACACTTGTGGATCCTGGGACCTGGGTGGGCTGGGGCACAGCGGAGGATGGACTTGAACAGATGATGCTTGCCACCAAGGCCAAAGCGAACTCTTTCTCCTATGGATAGTGGACAGAGAACTTTGTAACCACTGGATTGATTCCTTTTTCCTCTCTTTTATTTTTTTCTAAGCCATTATTTGGCTCTATCAAAGTCCCTCCTTTTTAACCTTTTCTTATGAATGGTGGTTAATCCAGAGGCAGTACCTTCCAAGTGGAGCCCAAACCACCTACCCTCTTCTTTTGCCATCTTGCCTACATCAGCCTCCCCTCAGCCATTGGCCTCTGGAAGACACAATGAAGACCCAGTTTGGCTTCTTCAGCATCAGGAAGAAAGTCCCAAGGATTGTTGCAGTGAGGAAGCTTGGGTCTATAGAACTTTCATTTTATTTTATTTTGATCGCTATTGCAGGACCCCTGCCTCTTCCTGCTACCTATGGGTCTGCCCAGAGTCCCTGAAGGACTTTCCTTGCATTAAAAATGCCTATTGTCTCTCTTTCTGCTTGGGTGGTATTTCTTACCAATGGATGCATTTGGAGGACTTCTTTGTTTACTAGGAAATAGTTACTGAGTATTTGCTATGTACCAGACACCAAGCTGGCCGCTACAGGCAGAGAGGCTCTTTATTCTCTGGGAAATGATGAGTCAGCAGGGATGAGAGAGAGCCACATGGTTCTTCAGGGGAAGAATAAACTTCTTGAACTCGTTGTTGGTAGGACAAACTGGAGAGGTTGTGGCTACTGTCCTGTAATAATACTAAAAGATGAGGAGGAATAAGCACACCATGAAAAAACACACATGGACAAAAAATTGTAACTCAGGCAGGGCCTGAAAAACGCTCTCACTGTGACAAGAGGTGAAAGCAGGAAATGGCGAAGATGAGACCTTGAGTTTTGGGGCCCCAGAAGGAATTTGATATGAACTCAGAGCAGTGGGAACTGTTACAGGCATATCTCAGATTAGTGAGTGTTTGCTAAATCTAATCACACATGAGTAGAGGTACTGTCTTTTGGGGAGACAGTTTATTGAAGAGACAATTCTCAAGGGAGAAGCAGAGCAGGCTGCAGCAAGTGCTTTGGAAACTCGCTGTCCTTGCTGAGGGGGTCGAAGTGGCAGGACTTTTATGATTCTTCATTTTAACAAGTCTTTTATCCCTTGGTATTTTATCATGGTGTGCCTACCCTCTGCCTGGCGCACCTCCCAGAGATGGCATTTTCTGGGAACTGGCCCGTCCAGGCGTGCACATTTAGTCTTTCAAGATGGCTTCCTTTGTGAAGGATTATGGGCCAGAAAGCACCAGGTAGTTGGGAATGTGAGAGTGTGTGTAGTTTCTGCGGGGTCTATTTTGAGTTGTGGTCTAGCTGAAGGCCTTTTGCTGCCTCTAGTTGTTGTTATGTGCCATTGAGTCAGAACGGACGCTGTGAATGTACTCCTTGTTTTCAGAAGCTGTAAATAGCAGGGGAGGAGATTGCCCCTTTTACTCCCTCCCTCTCCCTCAGCAGCTGTTAGATTCGTGTGTTTGAGTTGGCTGCACCACTCTTTACCTCTAGGCCACCAGAGCTCCCTCTAGCGGAAGGGCATACACAGAGTGGAGGGTGGTGGGCTCTGGGAGTGCTCAGAGAATCCATTTAAGCAGGAACTGGAAAACAGCTACTGCTTTTTGTGGTAGGGTGTGAGGACGTAGTATTAGGCAAAAACATCTGCCTTGTAGCTTCCTGACCTAACATCAGACATCCTCACTGAGATCTGACTCTGTCTGTCCTGTCTGCTTGTGGTTGTTGTTTTGTGCTGTGGACTCACTCGTGACTCCTAGAGACCCTATGTACAACAGCCCTAAATGCTGCTCTATCCTGTGCAAATTTTACTGTCTCCGACACACCTACCCCCATAACGCAGTCACTGAATCAATCCACCTCATTAAAGGTCTTCCTCTCCTGTGCTGTCCCTCCACCCTCCTAAGTATGATGTCACTCTCCAAGAACTGGTCCCTCTTTGCAATATGGCCAAAGTATGTCAGACGAAGCTTCAGAATCCTTGCCTCCAAGGAGCAGCCTGATTTAATCCTCTCGAGGACAAAACTTTTGTTCTCTTAGCAGTCCATGGTATATTTAGTACTCTTCTCCAACACCACAGCTCAAAGGCACCAATTCTCTATCATTCCTAGTCATTGTCCCGCTTTCTGATACATAGCAAGTGATTGCAAAGATCATGGCCTGTATCAGGCACACCTTAGTCTCCAGAGAGACACCATTGCTCTTCAGTACTTGAGAGAGGTCTCTGACAGCAGACTTTACCAATGCAATACATCTTTTAATTTCCTGGCTGCTGGTGCCAAGAGTTTTAATTGTGGAGCCAAGCAAACTAAAGCTGTTAACAATCTCAGTCTCTTCACCATCTATCATGATGCTGCCAATGGGTCCAGCGGTGAGAATCCTTGTTTTCTTGATATTGAGCTTCAATACATATTGAAGGCTACAGTCCTTGATCTTCTGCAGCAACTGCTTCAGATCCTCCTCAGTTTCAGCAAGCAGGTTTGTGTCATCTGCATAATGCAGATTGTTGATGAGTCTTCCTTCAATCCTGATGCCACATTTCTCCTCATAAGAGTCTAGCCTCCCAGATAATCTGTTCTGCATGTAGATTGAAAAGATATGGAGATAGGATACATTCCTGGCATACACCCTTCCCAATCTGAATCATGCAATGTTTCCTTGCTCTGTTCTGATGACTGCCTTCTGGTCCATGTATAGGTTTCACATTAGCACGACAAGGTTGCTGGGATTCCCATTCTTCTCAGAGTCAGCCACAGTTTGTTGTGATCCACACAGTCAAATGCCTTTGCATAATGAATGAAACAAAGATAGACATTCCTCTGGTACTCCCTGCTTTCAGCCAAGATCCATCTAACATTAGCTACAATATCCCTTCTAATCACAGTCTGCACTTCTAGTAGTTCTCTGCTGATGTGCTTTTCCCATCGTTTTTGGATAATCTTCAGCAGAATCTTGCTTGCATGTGATATTAATGATATTGTTTGATAATTTCCATACTCTGTTGGATCACCTTTCTTTGGAACGGGAACAAATATAGATCTCTTCCAATCAGTTGGCCAAGTAGTTGTCGTCCAGATTTCTTGGCTGAGAGGCTAATGAACAATACAAGGTATTGTTGCTTCTTATTGTTCCGTTAGCTCAGATAAGTGAGCTAGGTTTAAAAATGAGATGTAGGTCAGGTATATCATAATGTAAGGATGACACCCAGCAAAGATAAGGGTGTAGAGCGTTGTGGAAACTCGTAAGAGTTTAGGGTTTTTTTAAACATATTTATAAAAATACATATTGAATATTAATAAATTATAATTAAAAAATAGATGCAAGTTTTATCAATAGGTCTACCCCCTTGCCCTAAGATTCTGATACACATGAGCAAAGAAAAATATAAGTAGCAGATCCTTACAAATGACCCAATCACCTGGAAATCTACTCAACCACCAACAAGCCAAGCTCAAAAGAGATCATTTGAAATGCTTTATTGTTGAGGAAACCAAGTTTCTAAGGCTATGTAGATAAAGTTTTGATAAGCAAATTCACTGTATTTTGTTGATATTGATGTGAGTGAATCTTCCCCAGGCATAATACATTTAGAAAAAGTATAGCATTTAAAGTTGGTAGTTCCCACCCCTGAGTTTTTATCATATACCATGTCCTGTTTGAAATGCTTCTCCTGTATGCCCATTCTTGAAGCCTAGGTATGGCATCTTTACAGAATCATCCCTTTACTGTATCTGTCAATTATCTTGCCACAAACTGAAAAATGAAAAATAGCTTAAAAGATGGTTGTTGTTGATGTTATGTGCTGTCGAGTCGCTTGTGACTCATAGCGACCCTACGTACAACAGCTCTAAACTCTGCTCTGTCCTGTGCCAATCTCATTGTCTCCCACCCACTCATCCCGTTTGCCCCAGTCACTGAATCAATCTACCTCCCAGAGGGCCTACCCCTCCTGCGCCTCTCCTCCACCCTCCCAAGCATGATGTCCCTCTCCAAGGATTGGTCTCTCCTTACAACATGACCAAAGTATGTCAGACGAAGCCTCAGAATCCTTGTCTCCAAGGAGCAGCCCGGTTTAACCCTCTCCAGGTTGAATCTGTTTATTTTCTTAGCAATCCATGGTACCCTCAACACTCTTATCCAACACCAAAGCTCAAAAGCATCAACTCTTCTTCTATCCTACCTGGTCATTGTCCAGCTCTCTGACGCATAATAAGTGATTGCAAAGGCCATGTCCTGTACCAGATGCACCTGAGTCTCCAGAGACACACTGTTGCTCTTTAGTACTTTAGAGAGGTCCCTAA